GACTTGGAGCGCGGCGCGCAAGTTTGATCGTTGGTTGGCCGCAGCATCGAGAAACGATCGAAATCGCTCGCATTCGCGGATCAACGAAACGAATAGGTCGGAATAAGAACCGGTTCGTTGATCGGTCCACCGAAGGGTTATCCTGAAACGCGATCGCATCGAAAATGAAAGTCGAAATAGGCTCGTTAACAGATTCGCGAAACCAACCTCGAATCTAATCGAGAAATAATGCTTCTAGGGACTATGTCCTCGCAGAGCTACGAAATTAATAGAAGGAGTGTATTACGGAAAATAATTTTTACGTTTCATCGACTTTCGATTTCGATCGCGGTAAAGCATAAACGCGTCCGAAGCGAAAACGAGCGGAAACGACCGCGGAAGAAAAGAGAACGGGCACGAAAGAAAGGAAATGGAACGAAAAGGGAGAAGAAAAGGGGACCCGGAAGGGTAGCTCATCTTCCGCGAATCTCCCCGGGCTCCTGACACGTCCTCCGTTGCATAACGATTCCATCTGTTTCGAGTATACCTTCGAGAGACGCGACGTGAGAGCCACTGAACCATGTACCGGTTGTTCCACTCGTGGAATGCGGACTAGCTCGCGACGTGTACGTGTGCGTCAGCGTCCGAGTCCTATCCGTATTCCCTTCCACCTTCGTGCATCAAGCTTGCACGAGGATATACGCATCTTTACGATGGACCTAAGCGATTACTCTCGTTATCGTTTCTCTCGTTCCTCTTGCTCTCTCGCTCTGTTCCTTTCCCCCCCTTTTTTTTCTTCTTTTTACCTTTCCAACAACACCGATCGTTTTGAGCCAGCGTGCAAAATACGTCCGTGAAATCGTGGAAAAAACGTAGAATCGTCGCGTCGAGGACCGTATGCGCGAGTACGTTTATAAACAATCGAAGGAAGTCGTAGCGCATAAATATGTAGCGAGTTGCTCGGTTGCAGGCTCGCTGTGGCCACTGTATGCAAATTCGACCTACCGGTTGTACGTATATTTTACGCGAGAGCGCAAGGTATATTTGTTTTTTTCTCGAAAGCTCCGTAACGTTTCGAGAAAGAGAAGAAGAAGAAATAGAAGAAGAAGAGGAGGAGTAGAATCGCAAGACAGCTGCGATTTTTCTCGAAGCTAACCTAATTGCAATATACGAATAAATTAATTTAAAAGCCATACTCTTTCCGGTCGCTTCACTCTGGTAGGAGCAAACGAATGCGCGGTTTACCGTTAATCGCGGCGACGACGACAACGACGAGTCATCCAAGGTAAACTAGAACTTTTCCGCGACAGCGATAGACGAATCGACAGGAAAATTTCTGGTGAAACCGTCGTGTCGGGAATCGCTAGATAAACAAATAGATTTATCTTTAAGGAATTTTTCTCATCCTCGTTTGCCTCATTTTCTTTATTATTTGCGTTTATTGTTACAGAAAGTTGAAGACGTAACGTCGAAACGAGGAAAAAAGAAAAGGAAAAGCGGAAAGGGAAGCGGAGAGGTGGCATGTATCGTTCGAAAATGGCAGCGGAGACGCGTCGATTGGCCTAAAGGAAATCGAAAGAGACGCGAGGTGAGTGGCTCCTGTTGTACGTTCGAAGATTGTCGAACATGGACCGATAACGATTCGTGAAATTAGAAGAACACGGTAGCGTTGTCGATTTTGGACAACGCTTATCGGGTCGCGCAGTGACTTATACGTCAGCCGTTATCCGAGCACGCTTATTATGCACGCTATATCGTCGGCCGCTTCGACCAGGGAAAAGCCATAAATTTAATTGCTCTCCGGGTCACGGAGGACGAAGGACGGACCGAGAACCGAGGATCTAGGAGCAAGTAGCCGAGAAGGAATACGCTTCGAAGGACAGAGAACGGTGGATACGGAGGATAATAGAGGAGTCGCGTTGGCCTTGTTCGTCCACCGGGATTCGTATCGATTCGAATCTTCTTTTCGTTTCTATCGCTTTTGCGCGTGCCGTTGCTTCGACGTTGTCCGGTTGATGCATTCGTAGCAACATCCGTCTAGATCTAAAGAATATTAGGTATTAGTAATTGTTTCCGCTTCCGAGTGATGTTATCGCGAAACGATTCGATCGTTTGTCCGCAAACGTCGAGGGGCTTACGATCTCGAGGGAAAAAGCCGAGCGGCGCGGCTGCCGGAGAATAGTTTCGAATCGTGAGTAATTATTGGTGCGTCTCCCCGCGCTTTATCGGATTGATAACACAGTTGGAACGTTCTTTGCTCGCTTTACGTCGATAACCTTTTCGGCGATAAATTCTTGTTATCTCGTGGATTACGCGTTCGTCGAGAATCGAGAAGCATCGGAAAAGCTTCGCCGGTCCGTGGCCATACGGTGGCGGGCTAATAAAATCTGTCCGTGATCGTCGATCGAGCAACTTCGAATACCTTTCGGCAACCGTAACGTATTCGCGATCGTATCCAGCTTAGGAACGAAGAATCCGAACGTAGGTCCAGACACAGGGCCTATTCACCAACGACGACCCGACGATAAAAGCGCGTGCCAGCGGAAAAAGGAGAGAATAATGACCGTCCTTTTGCATCGTGTATCGAGAGTACACGATGCCAAACAATCGTTAATGATTTGCTCAAACGTCCTCTTCGACGAACGTTTACGAGAAAATTATGGCTACGATCGATAATACCGAAGCGGATTAAACGTATCTCGAGGAACGTCGTCGACCTTTTTCCCCGCTTCGCTATCGAAACGATTCGATGCCGTTTCTCGATTTCTCGTCAAGCTTCCTCCTTATTCCGCGTAAACAATTCTCCGTTGGTAATAATAATTTATCGTTTCGTTCGTGACAAGCGCGATCGAAGCAACGCGACGGCGTGAAATTTTCCATTGGTCTCGCTTCTTCGTCATCGTGGTCGTGGTCGTTGTCGTTGTCGTTCTGCTCGGCCCCTCTCTCTCTCTTTTTCTCGCTCTCAAACAGACGCGCGTAAGTACGTTCCGATAGATGCGTAATTACAACACCGACCAACTATTTCGTTTCTTTCGCTTTTTCCATCTCCCTTTCTCGTTGCTCGCTTTCGTTCGCTTTCTCGAACTCTCGGTTAGATACTCTAGCGAAAAATCTTGATCGATCGCGTGCTCGCGTGTTCGGGAGTATCGAGCGCCCCGGTATCTTTGCATCTCGGTCTTCGAGGACCGACTATCGGACGAGATTAGCGTCCGATGACAATCGCGATAATGATAATTGGCCGTCTAATTAAGTCGGTCGATTAATCGTTGTATGCGCGTACGTAACTCGATTCGTCTTACGACGAGTTACATAGGCGCGCTGAGAAACGAAATGCGGACGTCCCTTTCGACCTTTCGGTGTCGAACGTGTTCGCTGCGAATTAAAAGAACGGACGAGACAAAAAGAAAGTTGTTCAAAGTTTCACCAACGAAATGGACAACGTCCGAAAGAGGAATCTCGTTTCGCTCGATAAACCTTGGTCAAGCACCGAGAATCTCGTCTCGGTACGTCTAAAACACCGGTCGATTCGCGGAAAGGCACTCGTTAATGGTTACGGCCCTTTTTCACGGTTTAATAAATAACCGACCGTCATCGCCGTCGCCGTCGCCGTAAATGCAATTACGCGCATCCGTGTACCTGTAGACTGTAGACGGTCGATGTACGCTGTAGCCTGTATGACGTGCACGATTGGTCGATTCGTGTTCCACGAGTAATCGGTACGGAGAACAAGTATAAGGAATAAGGGAGAAGATTTCTGGTATACCGTTTCTAAATTACACCCTCGAAAAGAGCAAAGATGCCGGATAAGGAAGGCTCCGATCGATCAAGGTATTTGATCACGGTTTCTCGCGCAACTAGGCGAACCAGCATCCTTCATATTTCGTCTGTTAAGTTAAGACATTTCTATGTATGTATGTGAAAAACAAACATCAAAACGATTTTACGAGAACTTCGAAGGATCGATGTTTCCGATTAGAGAATTTTCTAGCGTTTTCAAAAATTCGTAGACACGTAGAGCAGCGCGGCGGGGTTGGCCGTTGATCGGAATGGACGAGCGACGTTCCCCGTTCCGGCCAGCCTGCACGCGAGCTCTCTCGAAGAGACCGATAATTAAGGTAATGGCTACTTTTCAAGTGGATTTCCGTGTGGCTCGATCCGCGCAGCCAGCCAACTAGCCGTGCCGATTATGGTCACGAACGGCCACGTTCGCATTTCGCTCCGTTACGGACCCCGCTCTATCCTTCTCTGCTTTCGTTTACCTCTCCGTACTTATTCCTCCCTCTTCTCCTTTTCTTCGATGGTCGTCTACGATTGAATTTTGTCATCCTGATCGCCTCTCGATAACTCGGTTGTCTTTAAAAAATCCTGCGAGTTCGCGTTAATGTTCGATCGCGAATCGGCCAAGTAAATTCACTCGGGTAAATTTGTTGTGTTTACGGTTTACGGAAAGAAAGAAAAAAGAAGAAGAAGAAGATAACGCGCTAGCTAGAGAAGGGAGAAGAAAATGTTCCGCCGCGACCAGCAATCTGGTACAATGGATTTTGAAGAGTGTAATTTTCGTCGGTAACAATGGTTGCATCGTACCGAGCGTACCGTATAATCTCGCCGTATCGTCGCCTCGTCTCGACTCGGACCGGATCGGCGTGTTTCTAATTTTCCACGCGTCGTGGGAATTCTCGTTGGATTCGTCGATCATTGATCGCTCCTCGCGAAATCGACGGAATCGGAAATGTCGTAGATCGAATCCGCGTCCATCGAGTTGCGCGTCGTTACGCGATTACTCTTTCAACACGCTTCCCGAAGGGAAAAAAGATTTTCTTTCCCGATAAGAAATAAGCCCCGGGGCTTATCGCTCGGAGAACGTATATACTATACGCTATTAGGATGGTTCGACAGAGATAAAGCTCATTAAAATACATAGCTTACGCAACCGAGCACCGACCGAACTATCGAAACGACTTCCCCGTTGTTTTTCGACGTTTATCGTGCGATCGTTGCGTGTCCTTTTCCCGAATACGTAGATGCGTGTACTATCGTTATCGGGATCGGAGAAATTTCGAATTTCTCGCGATCGACCGAAGATCGAAGATATCGGATTAAAACGGTTTCGGAAGAACGATCGAAAGCAAACAGGCAACTCGTTTTCTCATTCGCTTTGCAACTACCAACGACCAGCAACGCCGACGACGTTTACGAAACTAACGACCGTTTCGATTGGTTCCTACTGGAATTTAAGCCGTCCCACTACCGATCGACCAATCGGCATTTTCACCGATAACGGTGCTCATAATTACTTGATAATTATTGTACGAAAAGTGATTCTCTCAGGATAATATCTCGATGGAATCGCATCGAATCGAATCGAATGCGCGTAGAGACTTACCGACGCCTATTCGCGCGAAACTCGATCTAGTTTCTTTTCTCGGTTTGTTGGTAATCTCGTTAAACGGACGCGGGGTTAAACGCGGAACATCGTTAGAGGCGAACGACCTTAACCTTTCGAGTAAGTTAGCGGCAGAAGAGGAGAGTGACTTGGCTGGCACGGTTGTCCCGAGGTTTTATCGTTAACGCGATTAACGCTAGCGGCAGACTCCGAGCGCGAACGATGCTCTCCTCCGTCGCCGCCGC